AAAATACGTGTTTTAAAGATAAAACTAGAGGTTTAGCCCTTAAAAATAAAAAGTTTTAAAATTACGGCCATTTTAATGAAAAAGGCGATTTTTCGTGGAATTTGGCATAAACAATTTTTTTGAGAGCTGCATGTGAATTTTGACTCTTGTCAACCTTGCTACCGTAAAAAGGGGATGTTGATTAACACCTATGAATATTTCTGAAAGAAAATATTGCGTAGTTTGCTTCCTAGAGCGGTTTTTTGGCTGGGATAATTATTTACCCCATGTGCCAGCTATGTTACTGAAGCGAAGTGTGCCAGCTAAGGGTTAATAGAATTATAGCCCCTAGTATAACTAAATTATCAGATAATAAGGAGAGCTGGCATTGGTATAAAATACTACCTGAAGTAGAATATACTATTAATAACACTGTTAATCGGTCCACTGGCAAGAGCTAACTAATTTTTGGTATAGAGCAACGAGATTTCCATACGGATAAATTCAAAGATTTTTTGGAAACTATTGTAAACCCGCCTACAAGAGATCTTGAATCCGTGATCAGGCAGTTCAGCATACTTGTCTTTCACAGCAGCGTCAGAAAAAAGACTATGATCGTAGACACAAAGTACCCAGAAAATACGAAAAGGGTGATTTAGTGATCCGAAACTTTGAAAGTACACCGGGTGTTAACAAAAAAATAATTCCACAGTTTCGTGGTCCATATGAAATTTCTAAAGTATTACGTAATGATAGATATATTATTTTTGATCCGAATGGGTGTCAGAATACCCAAAGGCCATACACGTGGAGTGTTGGTAACTTGTGTCCATGGATAGCAACCGAAAGCTCTTGAACTTAAAGCAAAATACTTATTCTATATTTATTATTTTATTGTAATTTACTTATTTTTGTTTACTGTTAGTTTATTGTATTCTTAGTTTATGTATTCTTTAAGTTTATATGTATTCTTTGAATTAGTTTCGCTTAAATTATATTATTTTATTATTGCTAAAGAAAGTATTTTTCTTATTTTGTTATTGGAACGTTTAGAGTTACTACGGGTTCGTTTAGAGGTCCAAACTCTAGTCAGAAAGGCCGAAATTAGAATGTATTTTTGTTATGATAAAAATATGTTTTTGTTATAAAAAAGTTTAGAGTTGTTACGAGTTTGTTACAAGTTCGTTTGGAGGTCCAAACTCTTGTCAGAAAGGCCGAAATTGTAGTGTGAAATTATAATATACAAGAACTGATGCGTGAAGTCTTGTACAAGCGTATATAATAAGTAATGCGAGCGATTGAAATTATGAGCAAGAGGACGATCGTCAGATTAAAAAATGAAATAAGAATATATATAAAATCCAGCTCTCTGCATCTCATTAATTTATCGAATAAAGGGCTGAACTTCCGAAAACGACCCGCGCTTAATTGTTATGATTTTTGGCAGAAATACTCGGAATGATGTCAAATGAATATCCTTAAATGGATTTTCTGCGCAAACAAAGTTTAATACAAAAAATGTTTAAATCAAGTTATATATTGTTATACTGATTTACCAGATAAATATAGATATTGTAATAATATATTTGATTAATTAGGGATTAAAACATGAAAGAATAACTATAAGGGAGAGTGTAAAGGGAGTGGAGGCAATAAAAAATAGAAAAGCGAGATTCTAAGACGGGTTTACAATTTTGCATGTAAAGCAAGGTTTATTTCAAACCCTCCCCTCTGTGTGTTAGATTCAGGGAGCGAAGGCCTCCGATGGGAGGTTGGGGGAGTAAAGCCCTCCCAGTAGGTAGCATGGGAGCAGGCGGAGAGGGGGGTGCAGGGGGAGGGGCTCCGCCCCTCCCCCGCCTATTACATGGCTAATATTGATTGTAAAAATAAAAAATAAATCTTAGATTTAATAAATTTAATTAGATTTAATAGATATTCAATTTAATATACTTCCTACCTTGCATAGGGGTCTGTCTAATCTTTTCGGTATCTATTATTTTTAGTATATTGTAGACTCATCGATTATTAGTAAAGCGAAGATTTAATAGATATTCAGTTTAATATACTTTCTACCTTGCGTAGGGATCTGTTTAATCTTTTCGGTATCTATTATTTTTAATGTATTGTAGACTCATCCATTAAGGCGAAGATTTCATAGATTTATAATATATGTATAATTTAATTATTGTTGCAAACCAAGATCTATAATTGTACGAGTACTGTTTCACATAAGTTTTTGACTTTGCACGCGCGGCGTGATATAATATACGACAAAAATTGTGTTTTATTTATAAAACATTTTTTGTTAATAACTTAAAATAATGGCTAAAACCTTTTGAAGATCACTTAGGGCCATGACTTTAATAGTATATGTCAAAGTTAAAGCTATGAAGGTGATCCCCTGATTGAAATATTTATCTATTACATTTTCATCATTTGATCTTAAAAAATGACCTTTTCATAGGAATCGCTCAAAATCCTTTTAAGGGCTTTTATTTAACCCAAATTAAAGCTTTTGACAAATTTTCATTGAAATCGGAGGTGGGTTGTTTTCGGAAGTTCATCCAGCAAAAAATTATATTACTGCAGTTTATTGAGTTTTCTTGCGAAAGCAATAGTGAAGATAATGACGATATAGAATTTTTAATGAATGTATCTTCAAGTAGTGATGAGAGTGAAGAGAAAGAAATAAAAAATTTTATCATACTAATTGTAGACTAATTAGATTTGAAAAATAGAAATAAAACACAAATTAGACCTCGTGTCAAAGAATTAACTAATTTGACATTGCAATATTTACCATTCCCACAAATCTTAAAACGTTAAGACGTTAAAACTTTATATTTCTTCTTATTGTCGTGACTAATACAAAAATCACAATAGTATTGTGTAGCACCGTAGCACGTTTGAAACTGATAATTAAACGACTGTCTTTTCGTCTTTTCGTTCGAAACTGTTCTGTCCCGCGTTTCTGACGTCACGTATGTACATATGTACACACGGGGACATTAATGCCTAGACATCTGAAGTTGCATGCATATCTAGAGAGACCAATAAAAAGCACGCTTTCTAGACATGGAGGTGGAATGTTGACTCAAAAACTGTCAAAGATGTGTGCAAGAGAGAAAGGTAGACGAGTAATATTCGTCCTCTCTGCTCATGCGTCGATCATTCAACAGACAGACAGGACAAAGTATCACGTGGTATCACTCGTATACCTTTCTCTCTTGCACTCCTTGCCACTCTTGAACACACTTGCGGCCTATAGAGAACAAAGGCATTCCACCTCCATGTACTATATACTCACAGATTTCATGTGCTCCCGGCCTTAAGGCGGGAGCACAGGCTTTTGCATAAGTGTCGGTCCACAATAAGGACTTAAAGCCTTACACCGTAAGATATCGACCAATTACAATCGATTATTCTTCTCATATTCGACTACGATTGGTCTATTTC